TCTGATCCCAGGAAATAAGACTGACTGAAAATATGAATATTGATTCATGAATTAACTGAATCGACTAAATTAGTTCTAATTCTCCAAGCTAGGTGGGGTAAAATTGTTTTTCACAGTTTAAGTTTTTTTTTAACTGCCGCCTTCTTCCCAAACTAAAAGGCAGCCTTTTCTCTCGTGGCCACCTCCAATTAAGTAACCTCTTTTGACTCATATTTAATTATTTTTCACTTACTAAGCTCTTGTGCGAGAAAGTATGTTCAAGTGTGGCTGGGTCAATTCAGATTTCTATTTACCTTATTACCCCCCTTCATTTATCAGTTCCCTAAGGGTCATTCTCTATTGCAGCAGTTTGAATTGTTTCTTATATCCTGAGAGAACCTGGATCCTATTATGATGGAAACAAATAAACTCCTGTTTACATGTGCATTCTGTTTTTATACTTCTCTTTTACTGTATTGTAATAACCAAAAAATTGTGGTCATATGGTAAGGAATACATTTTATTGCAATAATAATGGCAGCTAACATTTACTTAGCACTTTTTACAGGCCAAGCAATGTTCTAAGTGCTTTACTTCTATGACTCATTTAATTCTCTCAACAATCCAAGGCGTTGGGTGCTATTATTGACCTCTTTTTTATAGATTAGGCAACTGAGGCACAGAGTGGTTAAATATGTTGCCCAGAGTCACCCAACCAGAGCCAGGATCCACACCAAAGCAGTCTGACTCTTGATCCCACATTCCTAAGGGCTATACTATAAAATTATTTATCATATAAAACCCATTATTTCATTAGTAATTAAACATATGATAATATTTTGGAGTATAAGTTTTACCACTACATAACTGAAATGAAGGTAAATAAAAATTTGCAGAAGTAATATTGGCAAATAAGGGAGGCAGAAAATGTTGCATTACACTTGCAAATGGACATGGGGATTAATTAAGGAGAGTGAGTATTTGGAGAGTCTAATGAAACCTTGTGTCCTACCTAGACCATTTTTCCCTCCACACTGGTATACCTCTAGTAGAGAACTACTGCTTTAGTAAACATTCTGCATGACTCTCTACACCTGCTGTATATGATTCTAAAAAGAGTGGGCCCTTGGGGACTGTTGGTGTGTGATTGGAAAGTTCATTAGTTTATTTACTCATTCAAAAACTATTTGTTCAGAACCTGCCCCCAAAAGCTCCCAGATCTGTAGGGGAGACAAATATGAAAACAAATAATTACAACACAGTAAAATAAAAAATAAAGGCATGTGCAGGATATACAGTGGGGATACTGAGACGAAGCAGGGAAGTGGTGGGTGAAAGGATGTTAGGAGAAGAGGGTACTCTAGAGGCATTCCTAAAAAGGAGGTGTTTGAATTTGGTAAGTTCTGCAGGCAGACAAGGAATAGGGAAAGACATTCCAAGCAGAGGGAGTGGCATGTGTAAAGACTCATGGATATGAAATAGGATCATGTGTTCAAGGAATTGCAAGTCTGTTGATATCATGTGGACATAGGTGCAGGGAAGGAAGGGAATTGAAAATGAAGCTGGTCAAATAGAAGGGATTACAAGAATATGAAGGAATACGGGGCTTTATTAGAGGGAATGGTGAGGCAATGAATAGCTATAAGCAGGGGAATGACACAGTGAATTTAGTGCTCAGACAAATTAAACTCTACATCTTCGATTAGATTATCACACGTGAGCAATGTATTAAAAAGTAATTAAGCATGTGATATTTTTATATTTGATATCATGTGGACATAGGTGCAGGGAAGGAAGGGAATTGAAAATGAAGCTGGTCAAATAGCAGGGATTACAAGAATATGAAGGAATACGGGGCTTTATTAGAGGGAATGGTGAGCCAATGAATAGCTATAAGCAGGGGAATGACACAGTGAATTTAGTGCTCAGACAAATTAAACTCTACATCTTCTATTAGATTATCACACGTGAGCAATGTATTAAAAAGTAATTAAGCATGTGATATTTTTATATTTCTGAAGTGACCATCTATAGTGGGCATATTTTTTTATGGTTTACCAGCATTCCTTCTTTCTTTTTCTTTCCTTTTTTCCTTCCTTCCTTCCTTCCTTCCTTCCTTCCTTCCTTCCTTCCTTCCTTCCTTTTTTGTAATAGCACTTGATTTTCCTTGGTGGGATTGCCTCTACCCCAATGCCTACAGTCTCCTGCAACTATCAAACAAGTTGTCTTATTCTCATTGGCTGAAGGTTGTGCAAGTGAACTGAGCAAGGCTCCTCCAGACTCCTCCATGAATTTAAATTTTGTGAGGAGTGACTCAAGGATGGAAAAAGATTGGATTTGATTCATCTCTTGTCAGTGTCCTGAAGGAGTATCCTTGTACTTCCTGTTACCCAAGTTACCAAAGTTACTTCAGTTCTCCCCTTTCTAGAAATAGGTGTTCCCAGATTGCCTTTGATTCCCTGAACTTCCCCATAAACTTCCTGTAAATTCCACTTTTGCTTGAGATAACAAATTCTGTTCAAACCAGGTACAGTTCGCTTTTAAGCTAAGAACCTTAATTTATATATCACCTGGGGGAATGATCTGCTTACTATTACCTGCTAAAATTAGCTGGAAATGTTGTACTAAGGTTATTGTTCTCCTACCAGCCAAGAGAGAGTAGAAAGCCCTTTTCCCTCTGGGTCTCAATGCCCTACCAGTGTACTGGCAAGGAATGGGCTTAGGTTTGCTTTGCTCTCAGAATCTGCAGTACTTCCTCACACTTCTCTTCTCCCCTCAGCCACGAACCTGGAAAAGAGAAATCTCTAGTTGTGAAAGTCTTTTTCACTTTATATTTTTGACCAAGACACTTTTCCTATGTTTGGCATAGAAATTCATACCCTTTGCAAAAACAGCTTTGTTCTCCTAAGATCTTGGAAGAATAATGAAAAAGACTTGTAGGTCTCTTCTGCTTGCCAGCTTGTCTCAAAGCCACTTAGAGGCCATAAACACATAATTACCTATGTGCTTAATTTGGGAGGCAGGTTGAATATAGAAGAAAAATGAAAAGGCACAAGGGAGGAAAAGAAAACAGGTTATCACTTTGAAATACCCCAGTAGTTTAGTAATAAAAATAAGGGACATATTTATTTCATCATATTTTTATTATCATTCTTTATAACTTTTTTATATTTTATTTTATAGTTTACTCACAGATGGAGAGTATAAATTTATTACTAGATACATTGGGTTGTTTTCCTGGGTATATAGTGGCTCTTTTTAGTCATGGTAATGCCAGCAATGATTATGCTTGTGTCCAAAGATGAACAATCTTCCTGCATTTTCCAAATCATCTGAAAGAGCTGTCGGAAGCCATACTTAACCATCAGAATGTTTGGGACGCAGCCTCTTCATCTCCAACACTGGCTTTTGAGTCACTGGCTAGGTGTTGTCATTTAGTCATCTTTTTCATGCACACCTTCTGACGTCTGGTATGCCAAGCTTCTTGTATGCTTTTATGTAGTATCGAATCCAGATGGAGAAATGTATTGGGGTGCAATAAATGACTGTGAGTACTTTAATATGTCTCCTGGTTGGAATTCATAGTGGTTTCTTTCCTAAGTCTCCATCTCCACCTCATTCTGAAACCATTTTCACCAGGTTAAATAGACATTCTGATAGAACCAGGGCTCAAGGGAGATGAAATGGTGCCTCCTCTAATCCTGACCACACTGTCATTCTCCCTTCTCACATCATTTCTTTTTTGCCACAGAAACTTGGAGCTTTGTGGTACAGAGAAGACTGAGGCAAAAAGGAAGAGTGAAGGCACCAAAAGGGGAAACAGTCAGTAAAGGAAGCTGGAGAGAAGATTGAACATTTGAAAGAGAAGGAGGAATCAGTACCCTTAAAATATTTTGAAATATTCACTGCCATTTTTAAATGCTATAGTTAATTTCCCTCATAAACAAAAACAAAGGATTAGAATTAGTGAACAGACAATATTCACAAGTGTCACTTGCATCTGCTCTCCGCAGACATCTGTACCCCCTCTTGCCAGCTCCCCTCACTGCCCTTTCCCCAAGCCTTTCTGACAGAGGATGTTTCAGCTGCGTATGTTGTGTTAGAGGCCATTTCACTAAATTACAATGATCTTGAATATGTCCTTTCAATATGTGTCTTAGGCTCTTGCTCATTATTATTAATTAAGCAGAGGACTGCTTCTAACTGCTTTTACTAAGTAGTGAAGTTTTCGCTCTTCCATAAACTGCCTGAGAGGACAACCAGACAGGAATCAAGATTTGAATCCACCTCTTACTGCTATCCTCAGGATGAAGGTAGCTTCTATTCTGGATCTCATAGAGCCACTTTCTATTCTTGCTCGTGTTTATATTTTATTTTATGTGATTTCTTTTTATCTGTATGTTCTTCGTAGTATTTGAAAACTTGTGTGTGGCTTCAACCTTTTTCTTTGGATGAATGTAGCTGATAGTAATATAAATGGTAGTTTGCTCAAGTGATGGCAAGGAAAGCCTGGTTCATTCCTTTTATTATAGGTTTGCCTTCTAAGAGGAGGCTACACTGAGGTGAAGGTAGCATTATGTATAGCAAATGCTTGTGCTGTCTTTTTTCTTTTTTTTTCTTTCTTTTTACTTCATGATATAATAATAAACCCCTTTCTTCTTTCATCCAGTCAGCTTAGAAGGGGAGCATGAAACATGGCTTCACGAAATGATGGCATTTCTTTCTTTGGAGATTTGCTTTAATAATTACCCAGGCTTTGATCTTCATATTTCCATATTTGCTGCCATTCCTTGATGCTGTAGTTGATTTCCCTCATAATCTTTTATCCTCGTAACTTTATTTCCCAGAGGCAAAGGACACGCTCTGTACCTGACCGCATTACGAAACACCTGGGTTTGTCTGACCCACCCCTCCACAGGCTGCACCACCCAGGACACTATGAAAATGAAGTTGCTGCTGACTGGAGAGCAGCAGTACTGCACTGGGTCCAGATAAACTTCAACCAACATGGAACCCCCAAGGTCAGGCTCTAGAGGGTCATCGATGAAACTCCTCCAAGTAAGTTTTCAGCCAGGTTATTAACTGTTTTAGTGTTAGTTTTTGATATACCACTTCACTGGATCTTTAAAATTTTGATGCTCAGCATAGAAGCATGAGGTCTCTAAATGTAGGACTTCACTGAATGAGGGTCATCATTAGAAGGCTTTCCCCTCTTTTCTTTTTGTGAGAGCCTCTTTCTCTTCTGTTGATATTTTACAATCTGTGTCTTGGGAGAAATACTTCCTAGGAATTATCTCTATTTTGTAGCAGACTGGTCAAAAAGAAAAATGGGACTTGGGAAATGGAGATGAAATTTGAGGATTAATTTAAAAATATATATATATTGTCTTGGGTTTTGCATAGCTCACAGCCCATCTTTATAATATAATTGGTCTGATTTCCACAGATTACCTTAAATATTGTTTATCATTCATTCATTCAACAAACAATTGTCAAATTGGGCATTTTGAAAATAAAGAGGGAGAGATTTCAACTAGAATACAAGCTCTCTGAGCACAGGATTTTTGTCTATTTTATTCACTGCTATATCCCTAGCACAGTTCCGGAACAGTGCCTGGAACACAGGTGGCACTCAATAAATATTTGTTAATGAATGAATAAGTGAATGAATATTAGTATGATTTTAAAAAGAGAAATTCATTTTAGAATAAGAGGTATATTATGTACATTGGATAGGGAATTATGAATATAACTCAGCTGGTTGGAGCACAGCCTTTTAACTCCAAGGTCACGGGTTCGGATCCCTGTATCGGTCAGCTGCCAAAAACAAAACAAAAACAAAAGGGAATTGTAAATATAATAAAGCTCATCTTTTTTTTAGATTGAAACATAATTGATTATACATATTTGTAGGGCACAGAGTTGGCTATCAGTATTTGTGTACAATATGTAATGATCAAATCAGCAGAGTTTAGGAAAGGGCCATAGGAAGACTTGACGTACCCAAGTGTCAAAGATGATATACTCCTTTATGTTCAGACTGGGCAACTATTTTATGTTCCAGATTGTTTTTGCCTCAGAGGAGGCATGTGGTTAATTTTGTATTTTTTATTTTCACTCTTATTTAGGAGGTAAAAAGACTCTGATCTGTAAAAAAGTGAGTTAGTTCTGTCTGTTAGTCTCTTCTGTGTTCATTTAGTGCTTCTCTCTAAGGAATCCCAAGGTACTGGCCAGGTAGTTGTATTAAACCTCACAGCTCAGCATGGAGGTTGTGAGCAGAGCTAGCCCTTGGGGTGGGCAGTGCATACTTCTGCCCTTAGGCAGAAACTCCTTAGGCAGTGCCAAGCCAACTTTCACTAGAGTTTCCATTTTTGAATTTTGTATTTGCTATTCCCCTATTTCTGTATACTTCTCAGGGCTAGCAGTAAAGTCATGGGGAATTAAAAATGAGCATCTCAGACGTTGGTGGAGGACTTGGCTGTCACTCTCTATTAACTACCTTCTTTCCTGTCTATTTAACTCAGAACATCTTTTTCCTCCTAGGGCTAGCAGTAAAGTCATGGGGAATTAAAAATGAGCATCTCAGACGTTGGTGGAGGACTTAGCTGTCACTCTCTATTAACTACCTTCTTTCCTGTCTATTTAACTCAGAACATCTTTTTCCTCCCTTGCTCCTCAGTGGCAAAGTCAAAGTGGGCATCCAATGCAGACTCGGCTGAGTGTTCTCCCCTGGTAGGGAGGGCACCATCACCTCCCTTTTGTGGCCTAGGAGCTATGACTTCAGAGTGACCTTTTGGAGATTACACTGTGTCTGGGATGGTAAGACCAGATGTTCTGTCTGAGGCTTTAGCCATTATACTGTGCTATAAAAAGCACGTAACACAGTCTAATACTTTTATGTTGCAGTTGAAGTGTTATGGAATTTCGTTTTATAAGAACTTAAATCCAACACATAAATCTCTCTCAGGTCAGCCAGGTTTTGTGTTTTTTTCCTCTTGTAACTCACTCTGAGTTCATTCAAGGCAAACACTTCCACACTAGCTGATTAGAAAAAACACTGTGGTGTAGTGGGAAAAGCACAAGATTACAAATCAGGACTCAATTCTAGTTTGGACTTTGCTACTGGCCAGTTTTTTATCCAGAATGAGATAGACTGACCCTGTGCCTCATTTTCTTGCTTTATGAACTAAGGGAATTAGATGAAATGAACTGTAACAGTGCTTTCAGCTCTAATGTTCTCCTTTTGTCCCTTCTTTTCTACCCTTTTGTATAATGGAATATAAAGAGTTGGAAAGAGCCCTAGCATTGGTTTGGTAAATGTTAGTTAAATCTGAGTTCAATTGAATTTAGCTAACCCACTTAGTTTATAGAGGAGGGAACTATGTGAGCAGAGACAAGTCAAGTTACTAGCCTAGGTCACACAACTAATTAATGGCAGAAACCTGACAGTTTTACCATCCATCATGAGTTTTTTCTCAGAAAAATTTCCCTTGTTACCTTTTGGTGGTTGTGGTAGCTATAAAGGAAGCAGACGTTTTCACAAAAAAAGTGGAACTCTTATTTCTGCTAATATAGCATTGCCTATTATAATAATCCCTGAATATCTTGTCCCAAAATGTTGGTGGTCATTGTGCAGAAATATGTGTTAATTGCTTTACGATTAAACACAGACCAGAAACTCCTGGAGAAAAAGACCACCCCTTGAAGAAACTAACAATTTTCTTTAATTTTTCTTTCTGACTTCACTTTTAAAATCATGCTGATAGTTCAAATAGTAAAGGAAGTCAGAAAAATCTGTTCAGGCAAGCAAGAACCAGGAGTTCCAGTCCAGCCTCCACATGGGTTTTGGAGAATCTGATAAACTAATAACATAAACTTACCTGAAAATGGTAGTTCTTTTCTTCATATATTACTTCTCTGCTTAGGAATGAGCGTTGTCTAAATATAAACTCATTTTCCTCTCAGAGGCTGGGCTCTTTCTGACTTCCCTATTTCTTTAAACAGTGTCACTGTTCTTTAAATTACTCACACTTCAAACCTTAGTCATCTTTGACTCCTCCCCTTTCTTTGATACATTGAAATGGTTGCTAAACCCCATGGATTCGTCCTTTGTAATATGTCTTACATCAGTTTTACTTCTTAATTCCTATTATTTTTCACATATGTCACAAAGTCATATTTTGTGAGTGGTTAAGAACATGGGTTTGGAATCAGGCAGAACTGGGTTTGAGTCCTAACTCTACCATTTACTACCTATGTCATTGCTTAATCTCTCTGACCTGTACTTACCTTATCTGTAAATTGGGTTAAAATTGTATGGGTTTCAAAGAATTGTGAGAATTAAATGAAATAATGTATGTAAAATACTCAGTAGAGTGCCTAGCATGTAATAAGTGTTCAACACATAATAGTAATTATTTCTATTCACCTCTTCTAGTTCATCTTGTTTCCTGCTAGCAGGTTAATCCCCCTAAAGTCTAGCTCTGACATTCTCTCTTCTTTACCCCCAAAAAGAGGCATCATTGCAGGGTGGTTAAAAGCTGGCTTCTGCAGCCTGCACTGCCTGGGTTACCATTTATGCTGTGTGAGCTTGAACAGTTTCTTAACTTCTCTCTGCATCAGTTTTCTTATCTGTAAGATAGTAATAATAGTATCTACCTCAAAGCTTATGATGAGTTTCATATTATTTAATATTAATAGTTAATATTTTAAAGTATTTAGAGTAGTGCCTGGAATACAATATGTCAATCTTAGTGTTTGATAAATAAAAACTACACACTGACTTCTTATATTTGTTGTTTCATAAATACGCTTGGTATTTCTCTGTATTCCTTTGGTCTTGCTGTTCCTTCCACCTGGATTGCAGGGTGGTTTAGTGGAAAGAGTACTTTTAGCCCAGGGAAAGTGGTAGGTTTTACTTATATGCCACCTTTTGATTTATTTTATAGTAGTTACCTGGAGATCTGTGTTACAAAAAATTCTGGGGCTTTGTATGGTTTCATGGGGAAAGATTAGCACATTGTACTTCCCATGGTCCCTGGAAGAAGAAGCAGAGACATATCTCTTTATTTTACCACAATAAAGAAGAAGTCACAATGTTTTCATAATAAAAATAGTGCAGTTTTTAAGGCACAGATAAATTTTCTTAATACCAAGGACTAAAGAAAAGAATTTTCTATGTTTCTTTATAAATTATCGGTAACATTCTTCTAATTGCTTTATGTACTTGAATTCATTTATTCCTCACAGCGTTCTCTGAGGTAGGTACTATTATTGCCTTCATTTCCTTTTTTACTAATGAGGAAACACAGGCACAAGGAGGTTAAGTAACTTCAGTAAGATCGTGTAATTAATAAATGGTAGAGCTGGGATTTGAAACCTGGTCAGTCTAGTCCCAAAGTCTATACTTTTAGCCACTATACTGAACCTGATTCTACGTAGCACATGTCCTTGGGTTACTTCTTAGGTAAGTTTAATTTAGTTTTAAAGTAAGGTATGTCAATGCAATTTGAGGAAATTCTATTCAATACTTTCAAAGAATTAATTCTACAAGGGCACAAATTACTGTTCAAATGTGTATCTCTCTGATGGTTTGGCTTAATCCAGCAATAAAATTAAGAATGTCTTGAGCAGTGGATTCAAACCACTTCCTGCTCTAGGGCTATATAGAAGTGTTTGTGGGGTCTGAGGGCTAGTGGTAGTGGGTGTGAAAGAGGCTCTGAGCTTCTACTCCCAATTCAACCAGGAAGCCTTGTTTTAATGTTTAAAAAGTGGGGTTCTAAATAGGACTTATTTTGAAGAAAGAAATCTCTGCCTTTCAAAGTGTTTGAACACTGACGTCAAGAGTTTGGATCCCCACACTGGCCAGCCACCAAAGGGGAAAAAAAAGTGTATGAAAAAATCACTGATCTAGAAATGAAAAACAAAGAAACTTTTTTAAAAAAGGGAACAAATGGGCCAGCCTGTGGCTCACTTGGGAGAGTGTGGAGCTGATAACACCAAGGCCACAGGTTCAGATCCCTGTAGGCAGATGGCCAGTTAGCTCACTCAGAGAGCGT